TTAATTTTATACACAAGTTAAAAATATAATATATCACCTACCTTCTTTATTGAAAAGTGTGAAATTATATTTTTAATAATTTTCACTGTGAATAAATATGAATAATGAATAAATCATTAATCCGATCATTTTCTTATCCCGCATTATTTAAGGCACGAACAGGCACCTGTATAGAACCATCGATGTTCATTAAGCTAACTGAATAGCTTCCTTACATGAAAAAGTCCTGCCAGGATTCGAACCTACAGTGGTTAGGGACATGTGGTTTGAAGTCAATGACCTAAACTACTCGACCGTGGTACTAAACTGACGTAGGTTATATGTAGATAAAACTATGGTGACCGATTTGTACCATTCGTGTTTTCTTTCCGCGCCCCCGCCGTTTTATTTCATAAAACCTCGTTCCGCACCCCGCGTGGCGACGTTTTATTTATTAAATCGAACCCCGATAATAAGCTTGTTTTCGCCCCGCCATTTTCACGCCCGTTTAACTCACAACGAGTGAAAAATGTCCATCGGTTAAAATGTTGTGAGCAACTTCCGTTCCTCGTTGTGAGCACCCATGTTTGACGTGTGACACGACAAACAAGGTGACTTTTTCATAATTTTTGAAGTTTGCAGACATTTATGTAAAAATATCGGAATGCAGTTAGCTAGCTATGTGTTTTCCGAGTATGCACATGTAAAGATATTGTCTGTTGGTGGACAATTTGATGGAAATACCGTGCGACGCAGTCACTCGGGGTAGCTGGAAAACTGGAGACAACTTCTTTCTGGACCTAATTAAACATTGAAAACGTCGATTCTGGTGACGTTTTGTGCATTATTACCTAAAACAGATGACCACAAGTCATCAGCGTAAATTATTATCAGAAAGTCTTCGTAGAAACGAAGATATACTCTATTTTGCTTTAATCCTCGTTGTGAGCACCATAACCTCGTTGTGAGCAAGACAAGCGCAGTGCGTGTATGGTTTTAATATGTAATTCAAATGGCAAGAATACAATTTTCAATCTACCAAAAGCAATCAAAACGTTTTTGTACAAAAGTTTTTCTTTGCAATAGTTCTTCTTTTTCTTTTTAAAAGTTTTTTTGAAAATTATTCTTCATATTCACAAGTCATCAGATTAACATAAGAACTAATCAGTTTATGTAAATCAGGTATTTTATTTCGTATACTCTAGTTTGGCTCGAGTGAACATCACGGGAGTTTATGAATATTTCAACAATTTCACAGTCTGTGTGATACACACATACATGTGTTTATCCTGAGCTGAAGACTGACCACGTTATGTAAAACAAGAACTATCACGGTAAGTTGACAATGCCCCTGAAGTGGTGCTTTGTCCTTAGATTTATGGACCAGATAGATTATTTGTTTTTGGACAATTAGATCTTCAATGTGAAGGTTATTCAATGTCAAGGTGAAATACATATAGGTCAGTTGGAAGGTCTTGTCCAAAGGGGCATTGTGTCCAAATATGAATTAAATCATCTAACTTATAAAGAAGTGATGACCAATCTTAAAGTTTTTGGATGTTCTAGAAGTCATTCACGGTACAAGATAAAAAAATACAGATCAGTTTGAAGATCTTGCCTAAAGGGGTGTTGTTTCAAAATATGAGTAGAATCCGTTTACTAATAAGGAAGTTTTGACCAATTTTTAAGTATTTGGACAATTTGACCTTCAAGGTGAAGGTCATTCAGGGGTCAAGTTCAAATAAAATAGGATAGTTGAAAGGCCTTGTCCAAAGATGTGTTGTGCCTAAACATTATGCCAGGACATTATGGCCAATCTTAAATGTTTTTGGACAATTTGACCTTCAAGGTAAAGGCCATTCAGGGGTCAAGGTAAAAAAATACAGGTCCGTAGGAAGGTGCAAAGGGATGTTGTGTTCAATTATGAATCAAATCCATTTTCTAATAAGGAAGATAAGGCCAATGTAAAAGTTTTCGGACAGATTGACGGACGTGCCAACTTTTGATATTTATGAGGCAAATCAGCTCATAAACACCACCTGGACCAACGTCCATTAGCAAAATTAGCTCAAAAAATAGCTCTTAATTTGAATTTTTGAGTTTTTGTTCTTTATTTAACTACGGAATGAAGCTCATAAATATCATATATTTGCTCGGACTGACAGACGAACAGTTCAAACCTAATATGCCTCCCTTTGGGGTATGCACAACGTCAAGTGCAAAGAAATGCTGCTGTGCAAAAATGTTTAAATTGCTGTGGTATATTGAAAATTATATTTTCACCATCTGAATAACATATTAAAACCATACACGCACTGCGCTTGTCTTGCTCACAACGAGGTTATGGTGCTCACAACGAGGATTAAAGCAAAATAGAGTATATCTTCGTTTCCATGAAGACTTTCAGATAATAATTTACGCTGATGACTTGTGGGCATCTGTTTTAGGTAAGAATGCACAAAACGTCACCAGAATCGACGTTTTCAATGTTAAATTAGGTCCAAAGAGAAGTTGTCTCCAGTTTTCCAGCTACCCCGAGTGACTGCGTCGCACGGTATTTCCATCAAATTGTCCACCAACAGACAATATCTTTACATGTGCATACTCGGAAAACACATCGCTAGCTAACTGCATTCCGATATTTTTACATAAATGTCTGCAATCTTCAAAAATTATGAAAAAGTCACCTTGTTTATCGTGTCACACGTCAAACATGGGTGCTCACAACGAGGAACGAAGTTGCTCACAACATTTTAACCGATGGACATTTTTCACTCGTTGTGAGTTAAACGGGCGTGATTTTTTTACCTGTTAATCCTCGACCTTTCGCTTGGCGGGATCGCGTCGAAAAACACGCTGTTTAGCGGGAGCGCGGGCGATGTTTTATTTATTAATACCTATGTTACTATATATAATTATTAACAAAATGTAGGGTATTTCAAGAACATTATGGCAAGATCTGGGTCATTATGTAATTTCGCCCGCCTTGCTATTTGACATTATTTTTCTATAATGGGCGAGTGAATGAGCGCAAGTGCAAAATGACGTTATTAAATCTTAGTGGCTTTTAAGATGACTGCTGAAGTTGAATGAACTGTTATCACTTGCACAAAAAATTTTAAGTTTAAATGGAATAATTAATTGCAACATTGAATAATGATAAAAGAATACAATAACTCTACCCAAGACAAGACATGACCCTCAGAACTTCCAAAGGGCGACAACCAAGATTAGCAGCGATGTCTAAATGCTGTATTTCGGACATAGGTATTGAAAACGTTAATACTTGGTTGCTGCTCGCCATCATGCGATAATGGCTCGAAGATGTGCATAATGGACTCAAGGACCATTATCGCATAGTGGCGAATAGCAACCAAGTATTAAGCTCTACTTACACCTCACCCCGGGTCCCCGCTGATTAGTGTGTTTTCGTTCCGCGACCCCGCCGTTTTATATCTTAAAACTCACTCAGCGACCCTGCGGGCGACATTTTATTTATTTAACTTCGCAACGCTAATTAGCTAGGGTTTGCCCGTCCGTGCTATTTTAACGTGTTAATTCTCGACTTTTCGCTTGGCAGAGTCGCGGTGCGAAAACACGCAAATTAACGGATGCACAGGGCGAAGATTTTTATTTACTTACCTTCGCCCGTGTCCTCGCTATTAAGCGTGTTTATGTTCCACGCACCCGCTGTTGTTGTCTTTTCCTTAAATCTCGCTCTGTGTCCCCATGGGGCGAAGTCTTTTTCCTGCGCTCCCGCTAATACGCGTGTTTTTCTCTCCGCGCCTCTACCATTTTGACTTGTTAATTCTTGACTTTTCGTTTGGCGGGGGCCGCGGGGTAAAACAGGAATGGCACACATCAGCCACCACATATATAACATAAATATCTAGAAAAATGTGAATCTAAATTCTTGACTTTTGATTAAACGATTAAAATTAATTTTGTTCGTTTTGAAATTAGAATCATTTAGAAATTGAATGTTATTGAAGTTCCTGAGGTTTCGCGTTTTAAGCCATGAATAATTTCAACCAACTAACTATAGAAATAATAATGTTATATTACCATGTTACAAATGCTTAAAATGTAAAAGCTATAAATTTGCTGCATATACTTTAAAAAATCATTGAATATTCCAAAATAACTATATAAGAAATAAGTTTTGTATATTTCCTCAAGATTGAACGGTGTACGCACAAATCTGAAACCCTGCAGCTATAAATAGCATCATTATATTTCATTCCGGAACATTTTACCTGCATACAATATTTATGTGTTTTAAAAAACTCACATTTTGTGATGCACCTCTTTCTAGAAACGACAAAAACATTATAAAACAACAATATTTGAGCCGCGTCATTACAAAACCAACATAATGGGTTTGCGACCAGCATGGTTCCAGACCAGCCTGCGCATCCGCGCAGTCTGATCCGGATCTATGTTGTTCGCTATCAGTTTCTCTACTTGTAATAGGGTTTGTAAGCGAACAACATGGATCCTGATCAGACTGTGCGGATGCGCAGGCTGGTCTGGATTCATGCTGGTCGCAAACCCATTATCTTGGTTTTGTCGTGACGCGGCTCATTTTACCGTTTATAATTTAAAAAAAGCAAAAAAACAAAAAGCAATCATTGAATTAAGATTCTTATAGCCTTAAATATAAACTAAAATATCACGAAGCAACAGATCAGCAATACATACTGTCACCAGAAGTAATACACCTTGTTATTAAAGGAAATTATTTTGTGAGAGTGTGTACCGCTAACTATGAATTGACTTCTTAGCAGGTAAAGAAAACAGAACAATGCTATTTGCAGAAACAATACTTTATGTGTCAATATATTTCATTTATAAAAAAACAATAACAATAAAATAATGCAATTTCATTTGAAATCCCTACCTGACATGTTTACATATTTTGAAGAATGTAGAATGCATGCAGCTCCCCCCTCCCCCCCAAAAAAAATCAATAAATAATACATTGTATAAAGAACACAATAAAAAATAAATAGACAAATAAATAAATAAAAATGATTGAAATATGCAATCTTGGATGATTTACGCGCATGTATATGTAGGTGCTCAATTTAGATGTTGTTTAACTCAACTTGATTGAATCTTATAGTAAAGAAATGATTTTTAGTAAATACTGTACCTAAATTAGTTTTTGAAATATTGAGTTTTGGTCATCTGACAATAAAAATGGTATATTTTAAGGAATTGTCTATCTCAATGTGATAGATTTAATCATGTTTTTGTCGTGAATGTGCATTTTCAGTAAGGAAATCATTAGAAAAATCATATTTCATCAAAGTGATTTTTTCTCAATGAATTACGGGCAATTATGATTAAGAAATAGTAAAATATTAAATGATATTTAAGAAAATCACGTAGCTAGATATTGAACAGCTTTGTAAGTATTAAAACAAAATTAATATCAATGTATATTGATGAGCGAAGTATAAATGAACAGGTATGTTATTTAGTTATGTCCTGTTGTTAGTATAAAAAACTGTGTGACCTGTCATTAACTTGTTTTGTGAAATGCAGTAAAGTTACCTTTCCTTAATATCTGTCTCCGCAATTTATTTTTCAAAATGTATGTATAACTGTAGATCTTTGTTCACACATTAAAGTAATGACCAAGTAACATTGCAGAGTTTCATTATGATATTTTAATGACAATAAATCATTATATCTCAATAGGATACTATAAACTATGCGAATTATAATGTTGTCGTAAAGCACTGTTTTGTTTTGATAAATTTCAATTCATATTCAATCTCTCTTATATTCTTCCTATATCTCAATTTAAAAAAAAAATCATGGGTTAATTTTACCTAATCAATACCGACATACACAATTTACCAATAACAAATAAAACACAAAAGTTTCTTTGAAAGAAAACAATAACAAACTAAATAAAAATACAAAATCACAAAACAATCAATTTTTGAAAATGTTCAAGGCTCAGCATTATTGACTGTGTCACAGACGTGGTAAAACTCCAATATGTTCCTACAAATAATATAACCATTTAATTTTCACATATGTTATAACTTGAAATCTTGTTACATCCATAGATGTGTCGACACTATGAGTTTTGAACAAATACAACAGTACAAAATTTACTTTAAACAAAAACAAAAATGGCTTATACAGGATGGGCCCCAGAGTTCTTTTCAATAGATTCTGCCATTAACTGACTGTAAGATGGTGGTGCGACTATTCCACTGAATCCAGACGCTTGAGCAGTTCTTTCTCTATTTTCAATCTCTTGTATCCTGGCTTCAAGTCGTTGCATCGTAGTTGTCAAATCGCTTTCATTTCTCCTCCCATTAGAAGATGCAACAGTTGTACCACTTGCAGCAAGAGGTGTACCACTCGCTGAAGGAGTTGTGGGACTCGTAGTATTTTGCTGCCTTCTTGCATTTCTTGCCGGTTTAGGATCTTCTTTTATCTGTTCGAGAACTGTATGAACAGGGCAGTTACTAAGCAACAAGTAGACAAATGAAAATATGTGCAAAATGACCAATCCAACAGCAAGACCTTTGTACATGTCCGCGTGTTCACCATTGATATCATAATAACAATTATTTCTCACTTTAACAGTGTTATTGTCCTTATCTATGCCACAATTGACGCCACCTATACCTGATAGTATTGTACCAGGAATACACCACATCATCCCAACTCGGCAGGACCATGGCCAAATGATACTCTGAAATAAGTCAACAATATTTTGCTGTCTTAAAGAACAAAAAGAACAGAAAAAAGCAAACGAACAATTCCTGGTTTATTAGAAGTACTTAAGTATAATATAAGAAGACAGAATTTTCTTTTAAGCAAAATTAATATTTTAACTGTCAAATGTACTAGTACTATTGTATGAAAATGTACTCACGCCTATAGTTGTTTTAGATAGTATTTCTATAATGTTCTTTCTTGTCAAACCCTTTTTCTCAACAGCATGGACAACATATATTCTAGAAATCAGGTTCACAAGGAGCTGAAATAAAAGTTTTGGAAAATTATATTTTTTTCAAGATTTTACAAAGTTACTTCAACAAGACGTACATTACTTCTAGTTTCTAAGATATTATCATAAATTGTTCCGCTTTTGATTTGTTTTGTTTCATTTTTTATATCTGTCTGCTCAGTATTTAAATTATTATTGCCAAGTTTGTTATATTAAACTATTTAGCATTTTAATTCATTAATGACACAACATCTGCAAAAACATAGAACAAACTATGTTTTCATAGTGACAATTCAGAGCAAATTAGATAAGATATAAATTAAACAACACCGTTCCATAAAACATACTCGAAACAAGCAGAAGGAATCATGATTCAGACAAGTTAACAAATTCTTATCTGTCCGTTGAGACAGGAAATCAAAATGGAGTAAGTACAAATCTTCAAGGACAGCACAAAATGAATTCATGAGAATTGATATTTTGTCAAACTAATAATAAACAAAATTGTAATAAATTTTTATTTCTGCTTTAGCGGTTTGGGGAAAGGGGGGATTCCAGTACCGTCCATGATCATATATAAACGGTTGTTTGTATATTTAACTCGAGTTGCAAGGCGAGGGTTATATTGCAAACAACCGTTTATATTCGGCCATATAACCTGCCAACAATCTTTATAACGAATAAATAAAACTGCACACTTTTTTCTAGAGAAAAAAAGTGAGATTTCTTTATAAATTGACAGCAGCCGTGTATATAAAACTATATAAACGTCACGGTTATCCAATGAAAATTGACGTTACAAACGTGCAGTATTATAAAGTTTTTTTTATAATACTGCTCGTTTGTAACGTCGTTTTTCATGGGTTAATCGTCACGCTTAAGTGAAGTAAGTACAAATCTTCAAACACAGCACAAAATGAATTCATAAGAATGGATATTTTGTCAAAATAATAATAATAAAAAAATGTAATAAATTTTGATTTCTGCTTTAGCGGTTTTGGGAAAGGGGGGATTCCAGTACCGTCCATGAACATACTTAGTCAAACCGAGTCTACAACATTTTCAAATAATTTTGAATAAAGTCGTTTTGAACATTCTTTAGGGATTACTTTTAATCTTTTTCTCCAAATTACTGTTACTAGACAGGGCAATTATATCATAACACTTAAACGAATAAAGATGCATTTTTACCAGACTAGAAATAATTTTAGAAAGTTATGATCCTTTTTTTTTCTTTTTGATGTATCAGATTATAATCAAATGATACTCGTAGACCTTTATATTTACATTTATAATACTGCACGTTTGTAACGTCGCTTTTCATTGGATAATCGTGACGTTTATATTATTAGTTATAAAGATTCTTGACAGGTTATATGGCCCTATATAAACGGTTGTTTGTATATATAACCAGAGCCGCAAGGTGAGGGTTATATTGCAAACAACCGTTTATATTTATATAACCTGCCAACAATCTTTATAAAGAAATTTATAATACTGCACACTTTTTTTCCTAGAGGAAAAAAAGTCAGATTTCTTTATAAATTGACAGCAGTCGTGTATATAAAACTAAATAAACGTCACGGTTATCCAATGAAAATTGACGTTACAAACGTGCAGTATTATAAAGTTTTTTTTTTATAATACTGCACGTTTGCAACGTCGTTTTTTATTGGATAATCGTGACGCTTATATTATTAGTTATAAAGATCGTTGAATTTATAATACAGCAAACATCATTTTTTAGAGAAAAAAGTAAGATTTCTTCATGAATCGACAACGGCCGTGTATATAAAATTATATAAACGTCACGATTATCCAATGAAAATCGACGTTACAAACGTGCAGTATTATAAAGTTTTATATACACGGCTGTTGTCGATTCATGATTCAAATTTACTTTTTTTCTCTAAAAAATGATGTTTGCTGTATTCTAAATTCGTTATAAAGATTGTTGACAGGTTATATGGCCGTATATAAACGGCTGTTTGCAATATAACCATCGCCTAGCGGCTCGGGTCATATTTACAAATAAACGTTTATATAGGGACAAATAACCTGTCAAGAATCTTTATTACTAATATTATAATACTGCACGTTGTAACGTCGCCTTTCATTGGATAATCGTGACGTTTATATGATTAGTTATAAAGATCGACAGCAGCCGTGTATATAAAACTTTATAAGCGTCTCGATTATCCAATGAAAAATGACGTTACAAACGTGCAGTATTATAAAGTTTGTTATAATACTGCACGTTTGTAACGTCACTTTTCATTGGATAATCGTGACGTTTATATAGTTTTATATACACGGCTGCTGTCGATTCATGAAGAAATCTTACTTTTTTCTTTAAAAAATGATGTTTGCTGTATTATAAATTCGATATAAAGATTGTTGACAGGTTATATGGCCGTATATAAACGGCTGTTTGCAAAATAACCCTCGCCTAGCGGCTCGGGTTATTTTTACAAATAGCCGTTTATAAAGGGCCATATAACCTGTCAACGATCTTTATAACTAATAATATACACGGCTACTGTCGATTCATGAAGAAATCTTACATTTTCTCTAAAAAATGATGCGTCCTGTATTATAATTTCGTTATAAAGATTGTTGACAGGTTATATGGCCGTATATAAACGGCTGTTTTGCGATATACGAACAGCCGTTTATATAGGGCCAAAAAGCCTGTCAAATATCTTTATAACTTATAATAGACACGGTCGATTTATAAAGAAATTTCGCTTTAATCCTCTAAAAATGATGCTTGCTGTATTATAAATTCGTTATAAATATTTCTGACAGGTTATATGGCCGTATATAAACGGTTGTTTGCCCTCGGGTTATAATTACAAACAACCGTTTATATAGGGCCATATAACCTGTCAAAATCTTTATAACTAGTAATATAATAAAAGAGATGATCTATAAAATACTACTATAGGATCAATTTCAGTTATTCAATAATGCATTTTAACACTTTATAATTTATAAAATCTTGATATTTCAAAACGGGTTTCTTATAGTTAAATTATTTCCATTTTGAAACATGTACATTGACATTTTTAACTTACGATAGGTGCTAAAACAAATCCAGAATATGCATATTGATACGGAAATGTTCCTCCATCATCCATCCCTATGCTCATGCTTGAAAGTGTTATACTTGCTGCCAAGAACGCAAATATAAACACCTCACAGAAATATTGGTCACCAATAAACCTGTAATACATAGAGGGTATTCAAGTTTTTCTATAAAAACATGATTAATTTCATCGAGTGGTATGAAAATAAATATTTCATGAGTTGCGGTAGCCACGAGTGAAATATGGTAATTTTCATGCCACAAGATGAAAATAAATCATGTATTTATAGAAAAACTTGAATTTTCTGTTTATTATATACATTTTTCTCCTTTTTGACTTTAAAATTGGAAAGACTTTCCCTGAAATTTTGTGTACTGGCAGAATTTAAAAGAAAGTAGTCTGGCAACACACCAGTGAAAATACGGAAAAAAAGTTTCACTGCAGTGAAAAATAAATTTTTACAATTAAAATACGGAAAATGAAAATACACATTTTATTTCATCAATATTTCTCAATATTTCATTTTATAAGTATATAATACAATTATTTATTTCATTAAAACATTTTTTGATAAATGAAGAAACACGTATCAATGTTTTTGACCCAAATGAACATGTATGCAAGCGGCCATGTTAATGTTTTCTCAAATAATGACGTCATATCTTATATAGTGGAACAAATCTTTCCAAGAGTGGAAACAGGCTAAACATAGGTATTATAAAATCGACAAGAGTGGTTTTAGAATTGATTTTTGATACAAGTTTGTATCTTTAAAAAGAAGCATTCACAGCTGTGGAATATTTGTTAATTTGCGGGAAAGAAAACTATTCTGACTGGTCGAATTGCATCTGCGAACAATAGCAACATATCGGCTATTTCCGTAAGTCTCCGGATTAGCTCTAGTGGGCGGCTCCAAACATAAAGGAGCACCTTAATTTTGGTACACGGTTTCCTCGGTCTTATAAAAGTGCCTTGTGAAAGTGTGCCTAGAGTGTTTACTCGAAACATGACGTATTTTGAAAAGAAGCATACACAGCAATTTTTGTAATCTTTAAAAAACTTACAAGATAGTTTTATAAGTTGGCAAACGTAAAACAACAACATCAACAACAAAATATAAATAAATAAAACGAGTGGGAAAAACAAGGAAAAAGGAAAGATTTTTTTATGTTTGTAAATTGTAAATTAGTAATGTTTGTATATTAAATTTATATACTGTATTCATAAACCTTCGCAATCTTCAAACACGGTCATGCAAAAATAACTTTATTCTTACTTTCTTGGGTTATTATTTCCTGTTCCTTTTCCCATATTGGTATGCTGAACTCTGAAAAAATAAACCATGCGTTAGTCATAATCTAAACTACTACTAGTCATAAATGAAATACAGCTTTGTATGTGTTGGTAAGTAAAAAAAAGTAAAATATGTTAAACATATTTGAGCCGCGTCACGACAAAACCAACATAATGGGTTTGCGACCAGCATGAGTCCAGACCAGCCTGCGCATCCGCGCAGTCTGATCAGGATCCATGCTGTTCGCTATCAGTTTCTTTACTTGTTTTAGGGTCTGTAAGCGAACAGCATGGATCTTGATCAGACTGCGCGGATGCGCTGGCTGGTCTGAATCCATGCTGGTCGCAAACCCATTATGTTGGTTTTGTCATGACACGGCTCATTTTATGGTTACCGTATAAACATTACTTGTGTTCAAAGTTGTCATCATATTGTCATTATCTTATTCATATGTCAAAAATATAACAATTTTATTTTTTAAATAAAGATCTTTTAACATAATAGAATACCGTATCGTGACTTTGTGTTTTTTTTTAAATGTTACGTCATTTAATTTGTTCTTATCATATACGTATATTCTTTTCTATTCTTATCTAGTTATTTACATTTTCATTAAGATTACTTGAAAAAAGCATTTACCTGTCATCCATAAATCTCCGTCAATCATTCTTTTTTTTCTCTCGTCATATTTAATAACAACGCAAAAGTGATCCTTCTTTACGATATAAATAAAATTTCGCGATTAGTTATAAAAAAGACGATTCAATACAATACATTTAATGCAATGAGAGGTACATTTTTCAAGCAATATTTTGTCCTTTTTTATTTCAGCGTATATACTCATCAAAATCACGTGTGTACAACCGCTGTTGACTTTGTTTAGTTTAAAATCAATTGTAAATGACTTTTAAATAAAAATATACATGTATATGTATATAATGAATGGTCTATTTAAAACAAAACCATTTATTTCATTATTTAAATGTTTTACACACGTCAATAACGGATAAGTTACAAATCATTGTGAAATTGTGAAATATATGGCTGAAATCTATAAAGAGTCATGTTTTGTCATTATTAAGAGTTAAAAAAGAAGAAGATATTTTACATACATTTAATATGATTTAAACAGAAACTTATATTGATTCATGAATGACAGGTAAACACTTTGTAGGTTAACTTTATTTACAAAACAATTTAATTAAAATACTACATAAAAAGAACTAAATAATTATAGATCTATACAATCTCACAAAGATAAAATGTATGTACAATATCTTAAAACTTGTTTTAAACACACTTACGTCTACTAAGTTTAATCCAATATTTTTTACAATCTTACACACTTTTTAGCGACGATCGGCGGATTTATAAAACTGCAAAAAAAGAGAAAAAAATACTGTCAAAACTAGGTCAAATATGTAGTCCAATCACAATATAAACACTATCCGCAGTTTAGTTTTTTTTTAGTATATACAAACTACAATAGGTGGACAGAAACACCGATCAAAATATAACTTATATAAACCAATCGATGCGACAATCAGTATTTCGAAATAAGGGTATATACTATATACATGTATTTATTTCATAAAAGGCTGTTCTATATTAAATAAACATTTCCAGTTTTGTTATTGATTAACCAACAGTATCATTGTTACTGTTCTAACATACTTTAAAAGGTACATATTGATTGATAGAGGTGTGTTGTAGTTACCATGGCAGTTGCCAGGTTAATGACACGTGATACCCGTATATAAATGACGATGAATAAAAATTGATTGCCGCTCTTATTTCATCATGAAGACTTTGTAAATATTTTACTAAGGACAGTATGTTGTCAATGATTCTGAACCTTCTAATGTATTAACTGTTATGAAATGTTGTTATGTATTTAAATTTACACCATTTAAACTATTGACTATAAATTGCATAACCATTACGAACACTTTTATGTTAAATGAAATACATGTTAATTATGATTGATTATTTCCTAATATACATATTGCAATACAAATGATAAAGGTTCTATTTGATAATGTAATTTTAAATAAATGAAAAACAATTTGATATAATATATCGATCGGATAAGGGTATATTTTAAGATCAATAATCAATATGTTTTAGTTATCTGACGTTTACAAACATAGAAGATTTACGTTTATCTATTATAAGTTATATAATAAATGACCGATACGCTACTGTAAATTTAAATTTATGATTTACTTTAAACTATTAAATGCGTAAACAAAATACCTGGCCTCGATGAATAAAAAGCCAAACTTTAACACAAAGTATTTTTTAATTACGAAACTATATCAGTTCCACACCTGAGATTCCTGATTAGTCAATGTGAACTGACCACAACATGTTTATATTAATACTGTGCTTAATGACAATATCGATCTCACGTCAAATGGTCAGTCGCTAAACCATGTACTTCTATTACATTTCACGTTAAAGTTCATGTTACTATTGACCCGATTTATAATTCCAGCTGTATATATCTTAGGTACATGTATTTATAGATATCTGTCGATGGGTAAAACTACACCAGTGTTAACATTATAACTAAATGTTTAAAGTGACATTATGGCCATCTAAAGGTATTTAGTGAGTGAACAGGTGAAAGTCAAAGTTAATTTTCATTTTGTCATAATTCCTTTTGATTTAATAATTTACGTCGTACATGTATAAACAATAAATTTCCACCGGATTCATACGAAATTTCAGTAAATATCATTTAGAATTTACCTATAACGTTCAATTTATAAAAAGAGTGGGGTAGTCTTTTATATTTTAGGCAGATTTTAAATTTTATACTTAACATTTTCCAATATAATCTAGCTGTTGGTCAAACATCATTTAAACAGTCAATCTCTTGAAATATAAAGTCAATTCAGCTCAATTCGACAATGAAAATATGAGCATAATGTCGCTTTAAGGGAAGTGATAATAATAATGATGATCTGGTTTAAATCTAAGAGTGTATTCGATCTTCCTGTTTTGAGGTATGAATAAGCCTTTAACACTCGCTTGTTTCCTTGTTCATGTAAGTACCAAAAGTAACTTTCGATAGAATTTTGATTTTTGTTTACGATAATATCATATACTTCAACTATTATTTTAATGGTACTTTAAAAGCTGAAAAAAGAAACAGGGATTTAGTGTATTATCCCTATTGATATATAGGTATCATCTGACGCGATATTATTTTCATATGAATATGCGCTCCTAACAACTCCAATATCGATACATACGCGCCAAAATATAGTTCGATTATTTATAGTTATCAATTTCTTGAGTTTCATAGATCTACTTGAAAATGTTAGAGTTTAATGGAAATACTAAAAAACTGAAAACAATTGTCACAAGTCTATCTATCGATAATATTAACACAGTCTACAACGGTTTAGACTTTTAAATAGAACAATACTTTAATTATCTGTACATAGTGACTGTGAAACCATATAGCAGAAGTTACCACACATTTTAATTGGTTTCTTTAGCGCCATCTTTAATATTAATGTTTCATTTATCATAATTCGGAATTGTCTTCCGTCTGCTTTCAAGTACTTTGATTAATATCTTTAGGTTTGTGCATAGATTTTACATCTTTTCACTTCTCCCATTTCACAACGTTTTATACCTAAGGGGCGGAGCGTTATGCATGATTTACAATCGTTTAACTTTGTGAATCTACTTTCGTCATATTAAACATGTTACTGTGTAAACGTAGTCTTGTAGTTCTACAACTGGAAACATGTTTTCTTAAACTCTATTTTCTGTATTAGAGTTTGTATATTTCAGGTACAGACAAAATAGTGACACACTTGCTTATGTATTATACTCAATGGAAGGTACGAACTTGTAAATTTGTTGTTGTTTCAATGTGAGGTCAGTTGTTATGATCTACATGTAAACTTGCTATTTAAAAGCGGGGCCTTAAATTAAAAGCTTGGATTAAGAGGCACGTGCATTATTTGCTGTGCACGAATACAATAAAAATGCTAGAGATACACGTTCGCATTTTCAAAAGAAGTTTTCAAAAGGAACACTTTCCATGTCTGGAATTTTGGCAACAAACGCCCTCCATAGAAAACGGGATAACGTTTTTCTCTCTGGATGCTTCCGCTCGGACTTCCAGCAACCTATAAGAAATTAGGTTGAAACCTTTCTTGAAAATTATTTTAAAGGCACCAGAGTATAAACTGAGTTCTACTGTTTGTTTTTCTAAATTGGTTTCAAATATTGCTATTCAAGAGACAGTTTTTATTTTTATTTTATAGAAATAGAAAATGGTCCCAGTCGGACTCGATTTCAGAGATGCTCCCATGCGGACTCAGAATGTTTGCTGTCTACATCTTAAAACGAAATTGACTGTCAGTACTATGTACTTTAAACACACCTTTACACAACATTTGATGAAAATCAACTAATGCCTAATTATTTTATTTGAAATGTACTTTTTGCACTAGACACACATCTAAAATAAATGTAAAAAAAACATGAATTTCACACATAGAATTTTTACATTAAAATGGAAATTCATAGAAAATTTTAATAATGTATGCACTTGATCATTGAGTCCTCTTGAATAATGATTCAATTGTTTTATATTTGTATCTGTACTTTTAATTTATTAATTTGTTTTCTCGTTATTGTATTTCAAAATGTCGACAAAGTTGACCACGCTTTAAAAACATTTTTGTCTGTTTGTTTTGTTATATACGGCGATTTTCTTGTCAAGTAAGGTAAGAAGTTCTTGTTACGGTATGTGATAAAAATATAGTTGTGAACATGAACATTTGTGAACATTGGTTTTGCAAACTTTCCTCAGAATTCTAGAAATCGTAAAGATTGTTCTCGGATTATCTGTGCATTCACTTAATAGATTTTTGATTTCATACTGGCTCTTTGAAATAATCGCCATTGTTTTTGCTTTAAAGTGAACTTTGCTTGAGCAGGAATTTATTGCAGCTTAATGTCGGTCGTTTAAATTTTATCCAATCAGAATCATCTGTACTCTGATTCTCCTGCTGTGTGCATGACATGTAAACAATATTTTTCATTAAATCTGTCATTTCTTAAACAACCGTCAAAGTGTTTTCTCTTCTTAATCCAGCAATATTCTAAAGAAAAACAAACAAAAGCAGCATTACCCAAGTCTTTGAAATTTGTTTTGGATTAGGAAGTTGATTTGTAAGATTAAAGCTATTTCGGTGCATAGAAATATAATTTAGATGACAGAAAGGTCAACATCGTTAAGGAGGGTTAAAAGTGTGTTTCATTATTTTTTTCTCGTATGATTTATGAAATATTTTACATATGTCTGTATTTATTTATTCTAATAAATCCACTCATTTTTGTAAGATTCTTTAGAAGAAGGTAGGTAAAATGTACATTTTCCATAACATTTTTGTCTTTTTAACATTAAGGCTATAAAGTAGTGTTTATGCTATATTTTGCTCAAATTATTCCAATTAAAATAAGGAAATGATGTTGGAACAACGGTTTACTGAACATTTTCAGGATGAATCTATAACCAAAATGATCTTTTTGTTTCTTTCAAAAATAGCGCCTGTGGATATTCACCAAAACGAAAAAATTGTGCATGATAGTAGAGATATGGAGGTAATTTGAGCGGCTCGTTTCCTTTCGAAATCTATCAACATTTGTTTCAAAAGGAATTTTACGGACACACCTCATAGATATAAAATTAAGATCCTGTAACACAAATTTTGTATGGTTTTATATCATAAATATGATGCTCTAATTAAGATTTATCAATTTTGTAGTTAGTGAATTGGACTTCGACGCAAATGGAACATTTTGTAATAGCACCACCAAAGTTGATTTCTGTATCAAAGCAGTTTACCTAAAACAACTTGACCTGTATTCAGAAATTCCGAATTCTGAATATCATTCAATCAACTGTCGACGACTTTAATCATACTTCAAGTTACAATTTGCCGTTCCAGTAATCATGTATGACGTCTTTGAATGCAACTGCCTGATTAGTATTTTCCTTTTTCGGTATTTTTGTGTTCTATATACATGTACTTTTTCCTATAAATATATGGAAGAGCCGTGTAAAATTTTTAGATATTCAAATGCATATGTTTTTATTTTATATTTAAGATCAATTGATGATGATATAATACGAAACTTGTAAATCATGCTACATAGTTTTTAATGTTGCATTGCAAGTCACTTCACATTTAACGATTACATATGTAATACAATACAAATTACTTGTTAATGAGTAGATACTATGAAATTACCTACCACGAACAGACTCAATATAACTGATCCTGCAACATTTTGAATTTTGCCGCGTCGAACGTTTTTCAGGGATTCTATTTATGTCTTTTTAAGGGGGTCAGTATGTTTATATTTTAATCATGAAATGTGATTTGTCAGTTACCAAATGAATATAGAAACTAGTGTGTATTATATGTATTAAATATAAAACACTTTGTTTCATTTTTATGCAAATCAAGTAGCAAAGTTTATTTTTTTATTTTCCTCATTTAATGTGTGTATGTCTGGCTCAAACTTAAACATAATAAATATAACATATTTATCTTTTTTTATCTACAATTACTGCAATGAAATATATATTGTAGAGGAAACATATTTAATATTTATCTGTTTTTTGGCAATAATAACTTGACCTATTACAAGGTTAGACTCATTTCATTTTTCTGTTGTTTTGACTGACTAGAAATAGTTAAAGTGATTGCAATAATATACTTTATTCAAAAAGTGTTCAGTCTTATTTCACAAGAAATCGCTTCTACTATCAGTTAGAAATTCAGACTTACGTCACATATAAAACATCGGCAATCAAAATGAGAAAAAAAATAAAGAAAAAGAAGAATCACTGAAGAAGAAAGATTGCCCAAAATGACAAATCTGAAACTGCCGTCCATGAACATTATGAAACAAACCGACGGTATTGATAATTGCAAATCACCGTTTACAACCCTAGCTCAAGTCGAAAAACCTAACACACGCTTAAACAGATTTCAAAATTTAAACATGAATTGACCAAATAATGAATTTAGAAATATCC